GAAACGTGGAGGTAACTAAGAATGTCTCCCCTAAGTGACTTAGGAATTACTATTCTTTCTTGCCACAATAAAATCCCCTCTTCATAAGATAGTTCATGTCTCTTGTCATAGAATATCTTCAAATTGTCCGGAATTGAACTTCGATCGGGCCATCCCCTGACACAATAGGATATAATGTGTTTCAGTTCATCATCTCTGTGAGTGTTATCTTGAAGCGTTCGTTTGGTAAGTGGCAAATCTTCAATTCTCATAGATCTAACTTGGTTTACTTCACCAAGCGTCTGATACGTATCAATGTTTGTTACTCCTTCTAAAGGTAATCTACTCAGACAATCTGCCAGAACATTATCTTTTCCAGCCCTGTAGTTTATATCGTAGTCGTATCCACTGAGTATAATAGCCCATCTTGCAAGTCTGGAAGCGGCATGTTTAGGTATAGGCTGCTTTGCCCCAAAGATTCGTTCGAGTGGTTTATGATCACACAAAAGTGTGAAATGCCTACCATAGAGATATTTGTAGAATTTCTCAACACCAAAGATAATGGCCAGTGCCTCCTTATCTATAGAAGAATAATTCTGTTCTGCTGAATTTAATGTCCTTGAAGCGGCTGCAATTGGTTTCTGACTGCCATCAGGACAACGATGAAGGAGAACTGCTCCTAATCCAATATTGCAAGCATCTGTTGCAAGGATAAGTGGAAGTTTAGGATCATAATGTACAAGTACCATATTGTTTGAGATGTTGCTCTTAATTTGGTTGAATGCGTTCTCACAGTCACTATTCCAGGCCCAAGTTGAGTTCTTGTGCAAAAGTCTATGTAAAGGAAAACAAAGAGATTGCAAATTTGGAATAAATCTTGAATAGTAATTCACAGATCAAAGAAATGATCTAAGCTCAGAAACGTTCTTTGGTGGGGGTTGTTTCTTGATAGCTTCTACACGATCTTCAACAGGCTGAATACCAAGAGCACTAATTTTGTGCCCAAGATAAGTCACACTTTGTTTGAAAAGCTGTAGTTTATCTTCACGCGTGCATAGTCCTGCTCTCCTCAATATATTTAAAACTGTTTTGAGCCTATCAATGTGTTCTGGTCCACTTCTACCACCCACACATATGTCGTCAAAATACCATGCACAATCATCAGTACCAACTAATAATTGGTCCATCAGCTTTTGAAAAATCTTAGGTGCAGTCTTAATACCAAAAGGTAATCTATTGAAGGTAAAATATCCTTTATGTGTCGCTACCACTAGATATTTTTTTGATTCTTCGTCCACAGGAATCTGTAGATACGCATCCTTCAAATCAATAACTGAAAAGAATTTTGAACCATTCAACTTAAGTACTGTTTCTTCAAACGTAGGGATGCAGTATTCGTCATCGATTAAATGAGGGTTGATTGATACCTTGAAATCCGCACATAATCGTACCTCACCATTAGACTTCGGTACAACAACTAAAGGAGAAGCACAAAGGATTGGAGTAGTAGCCGGATCCACAGGTTCTAAGACCCCTGAGGACACTAAACGATCTAGTTCCTTGCTAGTTGCACTGTGTAATGCGAACGGAACAGGTCTCGGTTTGTGTATTGGCAATTGTACATCATTAGCTACTCTAACCTTAGCTTTGAAATTTTTCACTGTTCCTAGGTTATTGGTAATTATGTCTTTGAGCTCTTTATATATCTTACGCTTCTCCCCCTCTTTGTCTATAATGTCCGTGTTAATATGATTGACGCTATAAGAATTTTGCTTACATACATGTTCACAGTTAGGATCTAGATTAAATGCTACAATCCAATCTTTACCAAGCAAAGGTGTACCTGAAACACTGTCAGTGACAGCAACACTTAATTGCAAAGTAGTTGATCCTAACGAAACAGCGACCTTAGTCTCGCCGAGCATAGGTATTCTAAATGACGGATAAGCACCCAGCTCCTCCGTAGGAGTCAGTGCCGGTTCACCAATTTGTTTCCACGTAGATTTACTAATTATAGTTCTTGCAGCAGCAGTGTCATATTCCATCGTTATTGGAACCCTATTTATTGTTAAATTTACAACGTAACAAAATTTCTCTACATTATTAATTTGACTTATGTTTTTTACCAAACCGGGAGGCTCAGCTAGTTCATCAGATATGTCAGGACATCCGTCATTATTTTGACGGGAAAAGTCTACATTGCCACTATAATCACTCATACCAGCAAACTTATCAATTTGTTTGACATAACGTCTTGAAAGATTTTTCTCAATGACGACATTATTGGATTTCAGACAAACTCGTTCAAAATGCCCCATTTTCCCACACGCTCTACATTGAATATTCATTGCCTTGCAATACTCACCTGTTTTATGTTTTGCTAAGCCACACCTCAAACACTGTGACTCAGGATTCAAGCTGATTCTAGTCCCTTTGTATAAAGGTTTAGTAGTTCGTGTAGCCCCTACCTTATTTACCTGTGCGTCACATGAAAATGTCCCAAGTGTTTCTATTTGTTGTTGTTGAGAATGTGCCATTTCCATGAGGTAGGCGTCTTTAACAATGTCGACAAGTCTTGCTTTTTCCTCAGGATGTTTTCTGATGAGCTCTTCCTGCATTTTAGGATCATTTAAGCCCAATAAGAACTGGTCTCGCAGTCTTTCGTCAAGTGTATCTCTAAACTCACATTCCGTCGCACCAGCTCTCAAATTGTTTACAAATATGCGTATAGATTGATCTTTGTTCTTCACGATTTTTCCAAATTTTAGTCTTTCGGCCAAATAGGATGTTTTTGGATTATAGAAATTTGAAATAAACTCAACAATTTCCTCGTAATCTACTGTTAAAATAGGTGTTGGATAAAAGTTATCAACCACAATTCTATAATGTTCAGCACCAATCCATTTCAGAAGTAAAATTCTCTTAGCTTCTTGATTGTGTTGTAAGCCACAAACAATTATTTCCAACTCAAACCTTTGGTAGTAGTACTTCCATGTTTCTTTGGTAGCATCAAACTTCTCGAACTTGAAATGAGTTAAGCTATGTGTAGTAGGTTGTTCCACTGTTAATGAAGATGATGTGTCGTCATTGTCATATTCCTCATGTCCGTGCAGCGCCATTATGTAACGTTATTACATTTAAATAGAATGAAATATATGAATGAAGAATCTTTTATTCTCAAGCATTTATAACAAAAGTAACAAGTAAAACAAACATTGTTTTTATGAAAACATCTGATTGAATTAAATTAAAGAACAGTATTTCAGCATACATAACAGACATATAATGTGTCTGGAAACCTAATGCGGGTAAGAGTAAGGCTACCTATTTGTAGAAAATACTATCATAGACTAACCAACACAAGTAGACTTCTCATCCCATTGTAAATTTTGAAGCACGTTTTTCGTGTCTAGTTCATGTACGTGACACATGGGCGCTAGTGTCGACGAAACTTTATTTCTATAATTATAGGGTAAATTTCTTGATTTGTGCTTTACTGTTTGGTTATATAACTAGGGGACAGGTTATTGCTTATGATTAGATCGTATTATTTGGCTAAACGAGGATTTAAATGGCTGTAATAACGGGAAACAAATTGTAAACAAAACACGACATCTACAGAAAACCGTACAGAACTAACAATAAAATTGTCTTCAGCTGTTCCATAAGGATGAGAAATCTACTAAGGGAGTATGTTTTATCTATGATACTATTTACATTAAATGTTGATTATATCGATCTGTTATGTAGGCTACATCTTGAGTATTTTCATAATCTTTGAATCAAATATTTTAAAGTCATCAGAAATTATGACTGTTATTCGTTTTAAAACAACGCCTGTAATACTTATCAATTGCTCGAATTTAAGCAACAGGTACACTAGTTCCTAACTATTTTGCGACTGGTTAGGGTTCCATTACCCAGTTATCAAAACCAATCATGAAAATACTTTCCACAGCATCTTCGAGATGCATATTTTTGGTTAGTTTTAAGAAACAGAAACTACCTCTAGGTTTTACTGTTATATATGGATGCTCCCTTTACTACCATACATGCTAGGCTATATTATTTGAAGCTTTTTTGCTTGGAGCAGAAGACAGTACCTGGTTAAAATCTCCTCCAAACAATATTGTTTTTTCGCCCATTGGAACTTGTCACAGTACTTATTTAATGAACAAATATATTGCCTGTACGAACCTATTTTGTCTTTATTACCAGGTTGATTTCTAAGAGTGGCCGTTAAGGTTATTCCACTTCATACAAAATATTGATTAAACACTACAATAAATCTCAAATTATAAATGTTAGTAAATATACAAAAAAGTTTAAAATAAATCTTTAAAATATATTTTGAAATCAAAACAAAGCAGAAGCTTTCCATTTAATCTTGAATCGTGTATTATTTAGTCAATGTGGTTATTTCACGTTAAACATTCCTTCAACACAACAATAACCTTTAAATTAGTAGAAAACGTCATTTTTTCAGCCATTCTAAGTTCAATTTCTTTGATTTGAGCCATCTCTTATGATTCTACTACTTATCATACGTTTAACTATTTACTTAAAAAGTTTGCAAATAGCACAGTAAAATATTTGATTTCAACATTTTAAGACGTACGGTAACTAAAAAGTCTTAATTATCATAGGTAACGTTATCCCTGGTTTTATATAGTATACAGTACATTGCAGAATTGACTGGCAAATAAGTAATCCAAATGTAATATTGCTTACTGGTATAATGATAAATCACGATCAGCTGTATTGAAGTAAACAAAAGTCAGCAGTAAATGGCTTCTAATGCTATTCTTATGGAGAATATTTTACGTTATATGCAATTTTGTGTTAAAATTTAGGAGATTTCTATATTCTTCCCGCCGTCACCTACCTTTAATTTGAGCCCTCTCCCGTCATTCTACGACTTCCCAGTCGCCCACAATTTTGACGCAAAGAATTGGCTTATGTAATTAATATATAGATAGATGATTACTTTTATTATAGCAAAATTGATAATGTCTACTTACTTCGTCAATATTTTGTTTCTTCACAGCAAGTTCTACATCAATGTTGTAATGGCTTCCTCGCAACCACTGTAAAGACTTTCTAGCATCTTCTTCATTGTTTTGTAGCAGGTAGTAAATAGGAGACTCTGGGATGCATATGAGTAAAAAAAAGTAAACTACTACTATTGCTAAACAAAATGCTGTCAGGGATACCACAGGTACCTGGGAAAGAAAAAAACAGAAACTATTGTAATACGGGTCAGAGAGAGTAGATCTAATATTAATAATACTATACTACAAGTAAACAAGAGTTGTGTCTCTAAATCATTGTTGGTACTGTTTAATGAAAAGTAAAAATAGAACAAATTAGGACAAAATAGAACAGGTCATTGGAAAATCAGTTGGCTTTTATTAACAAGAACTGTGTTGATACCAGGCATTTACCCCCTGTTAATAAAAACATTTTTTGTTTAAATAGAGGTATTAAATTAAGTAAAGTATTATTAAGTATTAGTTGGTAATGTTCATATGTTAGTTATTAACATATGTTCTTAATTTTTATTGTTATTGTTTTTTATTTATATTTTGATTCAGTTTGCCTTGAGTTCTGATGAAGATAGTTAAATGATATTACAATATTAAAAAATTAGTTTGATGAAATTTGTGTTACTTTATACAAGTAGAGTTACTAACATGGTGTCAGGTATGCAATTTTGAGAATATGAATAATATACAACCTCCTGAACTATTTGATTTTACTGAAAAACGTGATGCAACAGAAAACTGGAAGTTATTCAAATGCCATTGGAAGAATTATGTTACTTTGGCAGAAGATTTCAGCTCAAAGTCAACCAACTTGTCGAATAAGAAGATTCGGCTTGCGCTATTCCTTTCAGTAAATAGGAGGTAAGGCTGTAAGATTAATAATTGAGCGGAGCGAGCGAAGCGAGCGAAGCTCTTATACATTGACTTTTATGCATTTCGTAATACGCAAACTCCTCCTAGACGGCTGAATCAATCGTTTTCAAATTTTGTATGGTGATAAAGACCATATCGGTGAGTGCCAACATCTATATGGCGTTAAAAAAGTCTCTCAGGAATCCGCCCCACTGGGTCTCAAAGTTTCAATGTAATCCTTATGGAAGCAGTATTTGACACATAAACAAAGACATATGATCAGCTGTTGACTTTTGAATGCAGTAGATAAAGAAATAGCTTATAGCATTATTCCACAGATATTAGAACAGAAACGGTATGGATCATAAATTATAATCAAATGACGACACTAGCTTGAGGTCCATGACGTATGAAGTGGTGAAGGAAGTAGTAAAGGTGAGCAGTCTGGAGTGTGAAAACTGTTTATGACGATTAGATGAAGGTATCTGCATTCCTAAAATTCTATGGGAGGGGAGGAAAACAGGTCCGTGACGTAGGAAGTGGTGAAGGAAGTAGTAAAGGGGAGCAGTCTGGAGTTTGGAGACTGTTTATGACGATTAGATTAAGGTATCTGCATTCCTAAAATTCTATGGGAAGGGAGAAAAACAGGTCTGCTACGTAGGAAGTGGTGAAGGAAGTAGTCAAGACGAGCTGTCCGGAATGTGGGAACTGTTTATGACGATTAGATTTACGTATCTACAATCTTAAAATACTATGGGAAGAGAGGGAAACGGATCCGCGACTTAGTAAGTGGTGAAGGAAATAGTAAAGGCGAGCAGTCTGGAGTGTGGAAACTGTTTATGACGATTAGATGAAGGTATCTGCATTCCTAAAATTCTATGGGAAGGGAGGAAAACAGGTCCGTGACGTAGGAAGTGGTAAAGGAAGTAGTAAAAGCGAGCAGTCTGGAGTGTGGAAACTGTTTATGACGATTAGATTAAGGTATCTGCATTCCTAAAATTCTATGGGAAGGGAGGAAAACAGGTAAGCGACGTAGGAAAGTGATGAAGGAAGTAGTAAAGGCGAGCTGTCCGGAGTGTGGAAACTGTTTATGACGATTAGATTTACGTATCTACAATTTTAAAATGCTATGGGAAGAGAGGGAAACAGATCCGCGACGTAGGGAATGGTGAAGGAAGTAGTAAAGGCGAGCAGTCTGGAGTGTGGAAACTGTTTATGACGATTAGATTAAGGTATCTGCAATCCTAAAATTCTATGGGAAGGGAGGAAAACAGGTCTGCGACGTAGGAGGTGGTGAGGGAGGTATTCAAGGCGAGCTGTGCGGAGTGTGATAACTGTTTATGACGATTAGATTAAGGTACCTGTAATCCTAAAATGCTATTGGAAGGGAAGGAAACAGGTCCGCGACGTAGGAAGTCGGAAGGAAGTAGTAAAGGCGAGCTGTTCGGGGTGTGGGATCTGTTTGTGACCATTAGATTAAGGTATTTGTAATCCTATGATGTTATGGGAACGGAGGGAAAAAGGTCCGAGACGTAGGAAGTGGTGAAGGAAGTAGTCAAGGCGAGCTTTCCGGACTGTGGGAACTGTTTGTGACCATTAGATTAAGGTATCTGCAATCCTACAATGCTATGGGAAGGGAGGAAAACAGGTCCGTGACGTAGGAAGTGTTGAAGGAAGTAGTAAAGGCAAGCAGACCGGACTGTGGAAACTGTTTTCGACGATTAGATTAAGGTATCTGCAATCCTAAAATGCTATGGGAAGGGAGGAAAACAGGCCCCCGACGTAGGAAGTGGTGAAGGAAGTAGTGAAGGCGAGCAGTCCGGACTGTGGGAACTGTTTATGACCATTAGATTAAGGTATCTGCAATCGTACAATGCTATGGGAAGGGAGGAAAACAGGTCCGTGACGTAGTAAGTGGTGAAGGAAGTAGTAAAGGCAAGCAGTCCGGACTGTGGGAACTGTTTGTGACGATTATATTAAGGTATCTGCAATCCTAAAATGCCATGGGAAGGGAGGAAAACAGGACCCCGACGTAGGAAGTGGTAAAGGAAGTTGTCAAGGCGAGCTGTCTGGAGTGTGGGAACTGTTTATGACGTTCAGATTGAGGTATCTGCAATACTAAAATGCTATGGAAAGCGAGGGAAACAGGTCGTGACGTAGAAAGTGGTGAAGTAAGTAGTAAAATCGAGTACTTCGGAGTGTGGAAACTGTTTATGACGATTAGATTTAGGTATCTACAATCTTAAAATGCTATGGGAAGAGAAGGAAACAGATCCGCGACGTAGGAAGGGGTGAAAGAAGTAGTAAGGTGAGCAGTGTGGAGTGTGGGAACTGGAAACTGTTTGTAGCAGTTTTAATGTATCTGCAATGCTGAAATGCTATGAGCAGGGATGGAAGCACGCCCACGACATATGAAATGGTGAAAGTAGTAGTAAAGGCAAGCAGTACGGATTTTTGGAATTTTTCGACAATTAGATTAACGTATCTGAAATACTAAAATGCTATGGAACGTGGTGAATACAGGTCCACGGAAGTAGTAAAGTATGAGCATCAGCATAGTGTGAGATCCGTCTTTGGCAGTTAGATTAATGTATCTTCAATGCTAAAATGCTATGAGAAGGGAAGGGAACAGGCCACACGACGTAGGAAGTGGTGAAAGAAGTAGTAAAGGCTGGCAGTGCAGAGTGGGGGGACCGTTTGGGCAGTTAGATCAAATTAATCTGTAATACTTAAATGCTGTGAGAAAGGAAAGAAACAGGTCTATGATGTAGTAAATGGTGAAGAAAGTAGTAAGGCTTAGCAGTGCAGAATGTGGGAACTGTCTTTGGCAATTACATTAATGTATCTGCAATCCTAAAATGCTATGGGAAGAGAGGGAAACAGGTCCACGACGTAGGGTGTGGTGAAGGAAGTAGTAAAGGTGAGCAGTGTTGAGTTTGGGAATGGATTAATGTATCTGCAATGCTAATATGCTACGGGAAGAGACTGTAGACTGTTGTTAAAATGATTACGAAGCATGAATCGATACATATTTTCGATACATGCAATCGTTTAAATCCAAATTTACAACTGAGTTGACAACAGCTGATTTTTACTCCATAGAGGCTAAAAACGATTTCTACTCCCTAAATATTAAAAATGCTACTTTAGACCCGCAACGCATGCATTAAAAACTATTTTTTTTACTGCAATATGATAAAAAACAATATAATATGAACCGTTGATGACTCCGCTCAATTTTGTGGATGCCTCTGCGAACGCCACCTAGTTTAATAAACAAGTTATGCAATGAACCATCTGATGTGGATGAAGTTATCTCAAGACTTGATGAATATTTTCAAAAAGCAATGAATGTTACTTACGAACGATACAATTTCAATAGTGCCAAACAAGATGCTCAAGAATCATGCAAGGATTACATTAGGTAACCAACATCATGAACTTGTTGGTAAATGTGAATTTGAAGCCTTGGCTAATCTTTCAAAAAAAGGAGATTGAGAAGCAGCTGATATGCGATCGTTTGGTTGCTGGGATCGCTAATGTTCGTTACGGAAACGGTTATTGGCTAAATCAGATTTGAGCTTAAACAAAGCCACACAGTTGTGTATTGCTGATGAGCACTCGGAGAGCTTAGCATTGAAAATTAATTCTAGGAATACAGGAGGAGATTTAGAAGAGAATAAAGACAGTAGTTTTAGAGTTGAAAAAGACACTAACATGCAGATTTGCAAATTTTGTGGAAAGAATCATATTTGGGGCGCAAAGAACTGTGCTGCATATGGAAAAGTCTGTAGTAAGTGTAAACAAAAGAATGCAAATGTGTGCAAGCAAAATATACGCAAGGTTTATCATGTTGATCGATGCGGCTAGTAGGCCCAAGGATGACACATCCACATATGAAGATCGTTCAAACTCGGATGATGACATATACCATGTCAAAGAAGAAATACTGAAGAAACGCTTATTCATTGATCCCCACTCTGCATGAAAGACAGTGAACCTTTTATCAAATGCCAGCTAGACAGTGGATCATCATGCAACGTCATTGGCTACGAGACGCTAAAGAAGTTAGTGGGAATCCCAAGATTGAAGGAGAGCAGTACAAGACTTACTTTCTATGGCGGTGAATCTCAGTTTTCCCTTGGAAAAGTCCAGTTGAATGTTAAGTGGAAAAATAAGAAACACAAATTGATGTTTGAGGTCATCGAGACACCTCACAATCCACTACTTGGTGCTCAAGATTGTATCAACCTTGGTTTGATTTCATTTGATGAAATGGTCTATCAAATCCAAAGTTCTAAAGTCTCAGAGAAAATGCTATCTTCTTTTCCAGATATTGGAAATGGTTTAGGGTGTTTTGAAGGACAGTGTGAATTTAAGCTGGATACATCAGTACGTCCGATTGTCGTTCCTCCACGGCGATATCCTGTGGCTCTAAAGAAAGAAATACAAGATAAATAAAACGTTTGGAAGATCTGCAAGTGATAAAAAAAGTAACAAAGCCTACCGATTGGGTTAGTGCTATGGTAGTTGTGAAGAAACCAAACAAATTACGAATATGCATTGATCCTCATCAACTCAATAAAGCAATAAAACGCCCGAACTACCAAGCACTGACTATCGAAGAGATTGCTCCCCAGTTGAGTAAAGCCAAAATATTCAGCAAACTAGATCTCAAAGACGGATTTTGGCATGTAAAATTGACAGAAGATTCTAGTAAATTAACGACATTTTGGACACAGTATGGAAGATACCGATGGTTAAGACTACCTTTGATCAGCTCCAGAAGAATTCCAGCGGCGTGTGAATGAACAGTTTGAAGACCTGGAAGAGGTCATTGAGATAGCAGATGATGTTGTTGTATTTGGCAGTGGAGATACTGAAGAAGAAGCTCGCATTGACCATAACAATAATTTAAAATCACTATTTCAAAGGGCTCACGAGAAAAATGTTAAGTTTAACTTATCAAAATGTATGATTGGAATGAAGGAAATTAAATATATGAGTCATTTTGTCAGCGCAGACGGATTGAAGTCTGACCCTGAAAAGATTTCAACCATAAGAAATATGAAGGCACCACAAAACAAAGAAGAACTGCAAAGATTTCTAGGATTCGTGAACTATTTAGGAAAATTTGTTCCTAATCTCTCAGATATATCAGCACCATTACGATCACTTTTGAAGGAAGGTAATCTGTGGATATGGGAAAAAACTCATGATGAAACATTTCAAAAGTTAGTCCATTTGGTAACATCATCTCCAACCTTAAAATACTTTGATATAGAAAAGCCAGCAACTGTGCAGTGTGATGCTAGCCAGTTTGGATTGGGAACTTCCTTGATGCAGGATGGCAAGCCAGTGGCATACATTTCCAGGACTCTCAGTAAGGCAGAATCTCGTCATATGCTCAAATTGAAAAAGAATGCTTGGCAGTAGTATATGCTCTTGAACGATTTGAACAGTACCTGTTTGGAAAACATGACATAACGGTCGAAACTGATCATAAGCCATTAGAGACCATCTTCAAAAAACCATTGATTTCCACTCGCCCGCCCCCCCACCTATCTAGACACACTTTGACAGCTGTAGAATTCCTGTTGCTAATACAGTAGGCAACTATTATTTTTTTATTTTAACTGAATCATGCCACCTAATATTTTTTCACATAGGTAGTTATTTATCTCACCATTTGTTCTTGTAACTCCATTTAGATAATGTTTTCAACTCATTTCTGTTATTTATTTTTTGTATTTGATCAAATAATGTTATGTTTGGAAGCAACTACAGTTGACGCACAGGCTTTCTGCCCATGTCGGCTTATTCCCTAAAAATATGTACGCTTTGTTAAACATGGATGTAATACCAAAGGTTAACTTAATTTTTTCTTTTACATATTTGTGTACAATTTCTGTAAATATTTTGTTGGAATAGAGATATAATTCATTCATTCATTCACTTACCAAGCTTCCAACAATATAAGTGAACAGTATGCCTGAAGCGTTCATAACCTGGAGGAAGGTACCCAGAGTGCCTCTAATTTGAGTCTCCGCTATTTCAGCCGTGTAGAGAGGAACAATAATAAAATATCCTCCGACACACATTCCTGTCATAATCCTTCCAATATACATAGTTTTCACCTAAAAGACAAATTACACAATATTAATCATAAACATTTCCTTTAAAACTACAGTTTTGCAAAAAATAACTCTTTAATTAACTAGGTGGCGTTCACAGAGGCATCCATAAAATTGAGCGGAGTCATCAGGGTTCTATAATTGTTATTTACCTTCACCATCGAGCTTCATAATTATTTTTACCTACAATTTTAAGTGAAGAGAACATTTGTGTAAAGATAAATATTGGTGAAATTAGATTAGCTACACGTTGTTTCGTAATAAAGGGGAGTTGAAAACACAGAGATGTAATTTTAGGCATTTTCGGAGACCTAGATTTACATTTTAATTTTAAACCCTCTGGGTTAGTTATATCAACTTATTCTAAAACAGAACTCAGTACCTTATTGTACAGTTCTAGCTAGTTATAACCTAGAAATCAACCCTTTACAGTTTTGGATTCTAGAAATTTTGCTACTAACTGCATAGGAGGGCTTTATGTGATGGTGAGTATATAAATGTAACCACACAATATATTATCCTTACAAAAGTTATATTAACATTCACATTTGCATTGGTTCAAGCGTTTAAACCATAACCCATGTGTTGATAATTGACACGTTAATAATTAGTATAATCAATCGGAAGGTGATCGAAGACGAAGATTATGCCGTCGAGTTTTGGCTAAAATTGTTGTGCTTCCTAGTCGTCCTTGTTGATCTTGACAAGATCGAACTATTTGCTACGGATGATATGGATGATATGTAAATTTTGTAAACGTGTATGATTTGCATCACTTTTTGATAAAAGCTAATACTAAAAATTCAGTTATTCTCAAGTAAGCCAATCATACAAAATATAAACTAAGACACTATTACTATACAAAGCTGTATGTATTACCATGTAAACACCTAAACTTTGTTCACATTAAAACACCTGTTTCTGTTCTTAAAAACTCCACAATATTCATATACTAACTTGAGGACCTATATGCTGCTCCGCAGCGTTGAAATAAATATCATATCCGAGAAATAATTAAATTTATGATATTTGATTGAGTAATACAGTATCTGGGAACTTAACTGATTCAAACTATCAATAGCTCAAATTAAAGCCTATAACTTACTGATTATTTTGAGTCTAAGGCATGTAAAAAACATAAACAATACTGAAGCTACTGTAATTGATTTTTAATCATAGAATCCCCTTTTAAAATATAATTTACATGTTTATTGTTCACCTTGCGTTTCCTTGAAACTTCTGTAATTTGAATAACTAATAGCTTAAATGAAAGCAGGTATTTCACTGAAGGTAAAATATAACCAAAATATATAGGATTGTATAGTTATAACTAGTGAAATACATCTCAAATTGAAATAAGAATTTGAAAATAATTCAAATTTTTGCTTTTTGATCGACTCATACAGTGGATAAATATATGTCAATACTTGATATGAAATCTTCTTCGTACATACCTTCAATTTGGGACCTCAATCATAAAAATCGGTTGGGTAGAAAAGCCAAACAAATTAGAAAAAGAAAAACCAAATTTAACTCCCATAATAAATACATGGGGAGCAAATAACGTTAACGTATAAGCCAAGTGGGTCTGTAGATAAATATATAGAGACCTCAATCATGAAAATAGGTCGCGTAGAAGAGCCAAAGGAACCCGGAAAAGAAAACCAAATTTAGCTCCCATAAGAAATACATGGGGAGTATATTTCGTTTACGTATAAGCCGAGTGGGACTGGACTGTAGATAAATATATGCAGATGCTTGATGGGAAATATGTGCGTGCATACCTCCAATTTGAGACCTCAATCATGAAAATCGATCGGGTAGAAGAGTCAAACGGACCCAGAAAAGAAAAACCAAATTTAACTCTCATAAGAAATACATGGGGAGCGAATTTCGTTTACGTACAAGCCGAGTGGGACTAGACAATAGACAATAGACAATAGACAATATTCTTTATTTACATATTCGTGGGAGAATAGTACAGGCATCAAGACAAAAGATTTTAGATTGTCAAAGTTATACAATGCTCAAGATTTTTTTTTTACATAGTTATGTAATGTGATAACACAAAGTTAACATTTTGATGTCCAGAGATAGCTCTCGTCGGCGGTGGCGCTGTTTCAGGTGTTCAGGAATTCTGATTCTGAGTAGTAGGGTCTTTCTTGGAGCCATTCCGTTAGCTGGTTCTTGAAACGTTGGGGTGGCTGGTTTCTTAGATGGTCGGTTGTAGGTTTTTGAAGAAGAGCGCTCCTTTGTATGAAGGTTTCTTCTCGAAAAGCGTTAGGCGGTGTAGTGGGAGGGTGAAATTTGTGGCATGTCTTGTGTTGTATGTATGGAGTTCATGATGTCTTAACTGTTGTGAGGTGACTGCATGCAGAATGGTTTCTCGAAGTTAGAGTGAGGTTGCTGTGAGGATTTTTAGTTGTTTAAAAGATTCCAGGCTGCTTTCTTGGTAGTGTAGTCCTGCTAGGCATCTGATTGCTCTTTTTTGTAGAGTAAGAATCTTTTCCATATTGGATGCTGATGTTCCTCCCCATGTCACTATTCCATATCTTAAGTGGGTTTCAAAAAGAGCAAAGTAGGCAACTTTAGCTATCTCCAGGCCACATATTTGTTTAAGTCTTCGAATTACGCGGGTACCTGATGAGAGTTTCTTGCCAAGTTGGTCGATGTGTTGCTTCCATGACAATTTTGAGTCAATTGTGATACCTAGATATTTGGTTATGTTGCTTGCTTCCAGGCCGGGGAGAGGTGCTAAGTTTGTACTTTTATTTTTTGTGTTAAAAATAATTTGTACTGTTTTGTTTTCATTTAAGACTAGATCATTGTTTATACAGTAATGTTTAGCTTGGTTGAGGCATGCAATCATATTTGTTTCAAGCATTTCAGTAGCTTTATCAGAGACGGTAAGCACGGTATCGTCTGCGTACATTATAGTGGAGCAGGCATCATCCATGCAGTTTGGCATGTCATTCGTGAGGAGGAGGAAGAGCACTGGCCCCAGTACAGACCCTTGTGGAACCCCTCTTTTTACACCAGTAGTTGGAGATTGGATTTTGTAGTTTATGTTATTTTGGGTGTGATTTATTTCAACCAGTTGCTTTCTTCCCTTGAGATAGCATTTAAACCATTCTGCTTCTTTGCCTCCTACTCCTAGGGCTCTTAGCTTTTGTAGTAGCTGGTCGTGATTGAGACAATCAAAGGCTTTGCTAAAGTCAAGAAACAGGCTAGTCACTGAGCATCCTTCCTCCAATTGGTCTATGACATGTTCTGTCAACTGTATCAGGGCTGTTGTTGTTGATCTACCCCTGAGGAATCCATGCTGTTTATTCGAGAGTAGGCTATGCCGTTTGAGATGGCTTAGGAGTCTAGCAAGTACAATTTTTTCGATTATTTTTGAAAATGTTGGGATCAGGGATATTGGCCGATATAGCTGCTAGGTACACTTCGTGGCCCTTTTTTATATTTTGGGTATATTTTGGCGGTCTTTAGAGCAGTTGGAAAAATTCCTTGCAGTAGGTTTTATTTATTATAATTGTGAGTGGTATTGTCAGTTCTTCTTTACATCTTTTAACCAGTTTTGAAGATAATTCATCGACACCAGAAGAGGTTTTAGGTTTTAAGGAGTCTTATGGTCTTTTTTACTTCTTCAAAAGTTGTTAAATGGAATTCTAACTGCTCATTTGTGGCTGGGGCTAGGTCAGGGTATGTGGGGTTGGTGTTGCTATTGTTTGTTTGGAGTGTGTTTTCTGCTATTGTTGCAAAATATAGGTTTAAGGAGTTTGCTATTTCATGTGGGTCCAAGGTCGTTTTTCCATTTAGCTGAAGGCTGAGCTGATGGTTTGTATTAGTGGTTGCCTTTCTTTCATTATTTATTGTCTGCCACATTGCTTTTGATTTATTTTCTGCTTCATTAATGTATGCTACAGTTTGTTTTCGTCTCAGTTGTTTCAGTCTCAGGTTATATTCTCTCTTTCTTTCCGCTGTTTGCGCTTTGTGTTCTGTCAGGCCAGTAAGTTGTTATATTTCTAGTGCACTGATGTACACATTTTTCAGTAGGTTGCACTCGTCATCCCAGACCTGTCTTTTTTATTTTGTTTTCTTTTGAGTAGTTTCAGTGGGCAGGTTTCATTCAGTACTAGCTGTGTACCCGTTCTACGCACGGGGATCTTATAATATTCAGTTGAAACCTTCTTATATAACGAACAGCAGTTGGTTTGCATATTTTAAGATATGCTGGCCAAACTATTATACATAGCTTCATTTTATGTTGTTTTTTGTTGTTCCGGATCGGTATGACAATCAATAAAAGGTTAAATTACCTCTGTGTCTGCCGGTCGATCCTATAACGGTAGGCTTACTTTTATTTTTACTATCTGATCTCGTTTGCATGGCTCAATCACGTCCTGGTTGAAGTTCGTTCGCTACGCTCACTCACCTGTATGTTGGAGCTCGTTCGCTGCGCTCACTTTCCTTCAGGTTAGCTCGTTCGCTACGCTCACTTGCCTTCAGGTTAGCTCGTTCGCTACGCTCACTCGCCTCCAGGTTGCAAATTAGCTGTTGTCATAAATGTAAAAGAAATAATAGTGCTAGTGCTGCACCCTGTTGGTAATCCTTGTAACTTTAATGCTATTGAACATCACAGAACAGAACCAACTTGTTTAATTGAAACAGCTGTTAAGATTCAATAATTTCATTTCTCATAAGGTTAACATGGGCTTCCAGAAATTCCACGTCAAAAATCGACAAAAACTTGATTTTCAAGGGTTTACTGTTAAATATCTAACTGTCTCATATTCGATGAAATACGTCTAAAACCATCTCATATATGTATAGTATTTGGAAAATAAGTTTCAGGCGGGACAGTGCTATAGTTATTGAGGAGTAGTTGTAATAAAGTGCGTATTTTAGCGTTACCAAGAGAATGACAGATAGACAGACAGACAGACAGACAGACAGACAGACAGAAATTGAGATAAGGTTTGATTCGGTTTCTCTGACCTATGAAATGTAAAAATAACCAAAAAGTTCATTATTCTAAGCAATGTACAGACAAAACTCTAATTTTATTTATATAGATAAGCTGAAGTGTACTGTGGAAAGAGTTGTAGGCAAGGTTGACGTCCTCTTCCATTAGAATCTCATCCCATTTTTGTGTTTGTAGTTTCTCCTTAAACAGTGTTAATTCTCTATTGGTGAATAGTCTGGACTGTAGATTTATATATATGTATATACGTATTTGCCGATGCTTGATGTGAAATCGGTGCTTGCATTCAATTTGAGACATCAAGCATGAAAATCGGTCGGGTAGAAGAGCCAAAAAAACCCGGGAAAGAAAACCCAATTTTTAAATCATATACTAATTCACAAACCAATTCATCGCTAATATAGGGGTTACCAAAATATTACATAAGTTTTCCCCAAGTAAGCCTAGGACAAGTCTTCAAACCCAACTTCAACGGTTAATTTAGTTGGATGGACTCAAAGCAAACATGTTTGTTTTATTATTCAAAACTGTCAATAAACGTCCAAACAAAGATGTTAAGGCTATTAGTAGATTGTATTTGTATTGTAGATTCATTTGATTATATTATTTATGATCCATAACGTTTCTGTTCTAATATCCGTGGAATGATGCTACCAGCTATTTCTTGATCTACTTCATTCAAAAGTCATCACCAGCTGATCTTATGCCTTTGTTTATGTGTCAAATACTGCTTCCATAAGGATTACTTTTTCTTACTTCATCATCATTACTTTTTCTAAGTACAGAGCCCATTGCAAACCCTTGTTTATTCAGAAAAAAATACTCACTGTTTTTAATTTATTTATTTATGTGTGTCTTGTTTATGTAAAAGTTAATATTAATGCTGTAGCCTTGAGATCACATTCACATAGTTATTTTACTAGACATAGGAATAATTTAGAGTTACCTTTAGTCAGGCTAACAAAGTCACAAGAATCTTTTTCTTATATAGGGTTAAAGATGTTAATTATCGTTTGCCAGCTGAGGCACACTGTGTTGATCTTAAGTTAAAAGTACCGTAAACTTTTTTGCTGGTTATTAAATCGCCCTTTTTATAGTTTAAGTGATTTTTCATGTCTGACATTGATATTAGTTTTTAGTTTCTGACTGATAGGCCCTTAAATCTGTGTAACTTACTTTGTTGTTTAAATTATATTTAAAGTAGCCTAAGTTATTGAATGTTATAGGCCCTAATTGATATGCTAACCACTGGATATTTTATCCTTGCAGATTACTGAGACTTCTTAGCCTAAGTTACTCTCATATTGACCTCAACTATACAAAATGTTCTTTTTGTAATTTGTTGTAATAAATTCTTGATTCTTGATTACATTGAAACTTTGAGGGCCCGTGGGGCGGATTCCTAAGAGATTTGGTTGACACCATATTTGGCACTCACCAATATGGTCTTTATCACCATGCAAAATTTAAAAACGATTGCTTCAACCGTCTAGGAGGAGTTTGCGTATTACGAAATGCAAAGAGTCGACGTATAAGAGCTTCGCTCGCTCCGCTCAAAAAAGGTTCAAATACCTGCTATTAAGCAATGCATTAAATTGTTGTCTCAACTAGTTTTGACTCCTATGTGGAGCCATCATCAGGTGGTACACCGGACGTTTACTCTCTTTACATGAAGAGCATCATGTTTAACACGTAAAAAAAAGTCAACATTAAAAAACGATACACACACGGACACGAAAAACATTCATGGTAACAGATAAGTTATGACAACAACAGACGACGCTAGCCAGTCGGAGTTTAAGTCCAGACTGCGGGTGGTCAGTGCAATGGTGTACATCTGTTATCTTATCCCCTCAGGTTGCGTCCTATCCATCATATTTCCCCTCTCCAGTATCCTGATGGCAGTGTCATAAGTAAAATTAGACAAAAACGAGAGTTGATCATTTAACACATTTTAGGTGGTTGGATTTTACTTTCTTACATATCTCAAACTCCTCCAAGGTGTTTAATTTAAATCTCTGTCTTTAGAAAAATGAAAAATATTCATGTTACTATTAATGTTAATATAATTGTGGCCTTCGGAAATTAAATGTTTGGCAAAAGATGAAGTTTGGTGGGCTGCTGACGCTTTTGGAAGATGTTCCTTGAAATGTTTTGTAAAGGAGCAAATGAAGTATTTAGTGTTTGGCCGATGAAGTATTTAGTACAATCCGTACAATTATTCTTGTACACGCTAGATCTATCCAAAGGTTGCTGCTGATGATGGCTCCACATAAGAGTTGAAACTAGTTGCGGCTGCAACTTAAATGGATTGCAATAGCAGGTATTTTGAACCTTATTGTTTGGCAATCAGCAGTCTAGCATCTACAATGAAGTAACTATTTGAGAGTAAAACAAATCCCATGTAACCAAGCTTTTTATTTATTTTAAAGTAAAATTATTCAAACCCTTCCTTGAAAAAGGATTGACCATTAGAGTCCAAACAAAACATGCTGATTCTGTGGAATTATAAAAATAAAATTAATATTTTGGGAAACAACTTGAATAAGACAGGGTAAATTGAATTTATAAACTAGTAATTTTCAGCTGTGGAGATGGTTTACTTATTAACTTAAACTAAACATTTGTTATGATCCAGCACTTTTCTAGAGAATAGTAATTCAATTTTTGATGCATATGAGTCTAGCGTTACCTGTTCTTATTTTATGCATTGTATTTTTCTGAAAACATAGTTTCATGTCTACACTACAAAACAATTGAGGGTAATTTATCAGTGGGGTTCGAAAGATGATATGTTATTCAGCTTCTAGAATAAATGGTCTGTAATGGATGTTCATTTAGTTTGGTATTTATTTCTACACTTACGCTGTGGGCTACTGCTACCAAGGCGTAACCTAAAGCTGCAGGAAAACACATCGCCATCATCATCCTTTTACGTCCAAACTTGCTCATAATGTAACCTAAACAAGGTGCGGCAAAGAAGTTTCCTATGGCAACTGCTGACCCAATCCACGCAAACTCATAAGTAGTTATGGAAAAGCCATATTCTTGCTCATGTACCAAGGGGTACTGTGACGTTGAAGTCCATCCTCGACTGCTACCAACAATGAATCCTCCAAGGTTAGCTGTAAATAGTGTTACCAGATAATAAACAAAATGGGACCTATATAAAAATGTCCAACACTGTTATCAAAATAAAGAAAATACTACATATTTAAAGGCTGACATGAACTTGAAACCTAGACCTATAACAGTGCTTCCAAACCTGTGGTAGACGGAGGCCACTGTGTTGGTAGATGACGTTTAAAGTACGAATCTTACATCGGTAATGTTTGGGCTGAAGCGTCAGCACATTGGTTCACAGCCCAATGGTATCTTAAGTATAGTTAACCAGACGCTTGAACGAGAGCAAGATTATTTTGTTAGTTTAGCGCAATAAAACCAAGTGACTCACTTAAAAAGGCACTCATGTGAGCGAAATAAAAACTCTTGCTTATCGCTTTACTTAGTATCCAATTGAGGAAACTCAGACTTCTCAGAAAATGTTTATTCTCGAGACAGGGAAAGGTTGGTTTGTTTGGCAAAATAAATCATATGTTCATTCCATCCATAGTATTATTACCAAGTGCCCAAGTAGTATGTAAAATATTTTTGAATTGTGAGTACGCCATGGAAAAGGTTTGGAAACACTTCCCTATTATATTAGTTTTTAAAGGTTGTATGTTTTGTAAAACTTTGTTTTCATGCAATAAAATGTGTTTAAAGACCTGGTAGTCTTCTTTATAAAATGATTTGACATCTCACTAAACTTTAAAATGCTCATTAGAATTTCTCCATGAGTTATTTTAATATGTATATTTATTTCTACACTTACCTATGAGAGCAGCTAGAAATTGAGGAAGTCTAGAAGCAATTTGTTGTTGATCATTATTCCTTTCCAATGTAACCGCAGACGCCATAATAAATATACACTTTTGATGGATTAAATGGCAAGAACAAATTATTATTTCATGTTCATCATCACACAGGGAACATTCTCTAAGTTTAAGGCACTGATGAAAGAAATATTATTACATTTACTTTTTCACCGTTTAATTATGAATGCAGTGTAAGGAAGAGAGTTAATTATCTTATCATATTTTACTTTATCAGAAATGTTTGTTCAAAAGATAAATATGTTGCAGGTAGTTGGCTACATTATATAGACTGCTTTTAGTTAGTTATATTTTTGCCCAGTTAGTCTGTTCTGACTCAAAATTCATAGATTTGCAGTACTGAAAAATCCAATCTAACGACCCCAATTCAAAAAAATTGGTATTTTTTAGAAGGGACTTTCAGAGCACCACTGCTCTTTACCTTTTTAGTTCAATGGTTCTCTACATGTTTTTTTTTGTTTTGTATGTCTCTTTACACCCGGTTAATTAACCTTTTCTTTTTCTTTTTGTACTTTTCACATCCTGGGGTTAATGATAAAGTTTTATAACGCTATAATGACCCGAGTCAACATCCATTGTTCAACATTGCCATTAAACATCAAGTCAGATACTTCTTCGCCAGAACCGAAATCGTAAGTCACAGTTTCTCAAGCAACTTCCCTGTGTAGGCCTATCGGTACTCGAAAAATTATAGTTAGGGTATAGTTCACTGATAAATTGTAGTTCCAAATATCCCAGCGTTCTCGCCATCTCGAGAAGGTAAAATTTTGTACGTCGGATACTGATCTTGAGTAAGATTAATCACTTACGATAAAATGTTTGTATGTTTACCAATCATTAGCAATTATCTGTACAACTTGCAAGCGGATTTCCCTATGATTGTTCTGGTGGCTATAGAGAATAAATTGTATTGATCAAAACAATAAGTTTCCGTCCCCTACTATGAGTATTATTTCACATTCCATAACTTACTCAAACTTAAACTCAATTACCACTTTCCTTCGGATCACTTAGCAGGAAAACTAAAACATTTTTGTGTCCCAGTTAGTCTGTTCTGACTCAAAATTCATAGATTTGAAGTAGTGACAAAGCCAATCTAACGACCACAATTCAAAAGAGTTGGTATTTTTTTGTAGGGACTTCCAGAGCACATTTAACACCAACACTGCTCTTTACCTTTTTAGTTCGATGGTTCTCTACATTTCTTTTTCGTTCGGTATGTCTCTTTACGCCCGGCTTTATGCCCTCTTTCTTTTTGTACTTTTCACACCCTTGTATCAATATTAATGAAAAAGTTTTATAACGCTATAATAAACCCGAGTCAACATTGCCATTAAACATCAAGTCACAGTTTCTCAAGCAACTTCCCTGTGTACTTGAAAAAAAATCACTGATATAGTGTAGTTCCACGTATCCCAGCATACTCGCCATCTCGAGAAGGTAAAGTTTGGTACCACTGAACGTCTAACACTGATCTTGAGTAAGATTCGTCACCTATTATAAAATGTTTGTATGTTTCCCACTCATTAGCAATTATGTGTACGACTTGCAAGCAGATTTCCCCATGATTATTCTGGTGGCCGTAGAGAATAAATTATATTGATCAAAACAATAAGTTTCCGTTCCCTACTATGGGTATTATTTCACATTCCATACTCAAACTTAAACTCAATTACCACTTTCCTTCAGATCACTTTGCAGGAAAACTAAAACATTTCAAAAAAAATTTAACAAATACACTTTCCTTGATCAAAATCGTGTGTTTATAAACAGAACTTCCAAGTTTAATAATTGCATACTGAAAGTGAGGTTATAAAAATAATAACAAATGTCTGACAAACATTAAACAGCTGACGAATAATTTATAAACTGTGTGAGAAAACAGTGTTACAACTGTGTATTAAATATATTAGTGCAGTAAAAATAGGAGAAAAATTCCATAAACCTAAAAAAAATTAGCACAACCGGGGAATTTGGTACAGATGTTGGGTGTACCTTCCTTTTGAACATACTAAAAGTCCCCTGAAATTGAAGCTGTGCTACGGCCGCCATATTGGAAAATGGCGGCATATTTCTGTATTTTTCGCTATAGTGACTTTATTATTAGAGATACAGGAAAAAGCTAAGTGTACAAAATGTAGGTCATCTAAAAATACACATTTTTTGTATTTACCATCTTTCTCTAAACCTAACGGTTATTGAGTTATTTGTTATTAAGTATATTTAGTTTTTCTATTTATCAAAAATAGGTGAAACACATGGAAATTGACCGTTACTTTCAAGGACTATGATAATTTATCCCATTTAGTTAAATAGAGTGATACTATAAAATCTTAAAATTTAAGCTTATTTATGAGTAAAACAACTCTGCCACAGCAAACCTGCAGACTCAGCAAATTTCCATTTGATTGGATGTTTTATTAATTTTATTTAAATAAAATTAGATTCAACAGGTACCTAGGTTTGCTGCTACAGGTAGGTTATTATAGTGTGTTTTTTTAGTAAAATATCAATAATTTAGTATAAAATAATTAATTTTCCAAGTTTGATCACTAAAAATCTATAAACAAACAAACTGCAACAGTTAACTAATTCATAATCATAGCATTGTAGCTTAAGATTTACAATTTACAAATTTAAATATACAAATTTTGGTTGTGTTTACTAAAAATATGGCGATTATTCGTCACGATTCGAATCCTAACCGAAGGGGTTTTCAAAAGGAGATGAAGCAAGTAATTTAGGTACTATAATATTAACTCGTACCAAGTATCGGAAATATTGTATGCAGTGAGGAAATCAACCATATTTTGTAAACTACGCAATAGTCATATTAATATTTTATACTCATTTTCACCCATTTAATAAATTAACATTTTAATATTTTGATGGCACTACCACTATCACTCTGGTATCAACTAAGTGGGATGAATAATTGTAAACCTTGAAAGTAACCGTCGATTGCGATGGGTTTCACCGATTTTTGATAAATAAAACGAACTATACTATACCATATTTAATTAGTTACCAACATGAACTAGACACGAAAAACGCCCTTCCAAATTTACAATGGGATGTCAAGTATAGTTAGTTAGTGTGGTGGTGCCATCAAAATACAAAAATGTTAACTATTAAATGGGTAAAAAATGAAGATAAAATATTATTATGACTATTGCGTACTTTACAAAATATGGTAGATTACCTTACTGCATACAATATTTTCGGTGCTTGGTACAAATTAATATTACTTAAATAACAGGCTCCATCTCCTTTTGAAAACCCATTTGGTTAATATTCTAATCGAATAATCGCTTTTTTTTAGTAAACACAACCAAAATTTGTTTGTTAAAATTTTAAACTCCCATGCTATTCTTATGAATTAGTTAACTGTTGCAGTTTGTTTGTTTATAGATATATTTTGATCAAACTTGCAAAATAAGCTATTTTATAGTAAGGTATCGATATTTTACTAAAAAAAAAAAACACACAATAATAACCTACGTGTAGCAGCAAACCTAGGTACCTGTTGAAGTTGAACCTAATCTTATTTATATACATTTTTTAATAAAACATCCAATCAAATGGAAATTTGCTGAGTCTGCATGTTTGCTGTGGCGGAGTTGTTTTAATCATAAAATAAGCTTAAATTTTTTGATTTTATAGTATCACACTATTTAACTAAATAGGATAAATTATCATAATCCTTGAAAGTAACGGTCAATTTCCATGTGTTTCACCTATTTTTGATAAATAGAAAAACTAAATATACTTAATAACAAATAACTCAATAACCGTTAGGTTTAGAGAAAGATGGTAAATACAAAAAATGTGTATTTTTAGATGACCTACATTTTGTACACTTAGCTTTTTCCTGTATCTCTAATAATAAAGTCACTATAGCGAAAAATACAGAAATATGCCGCCATTTTCCAATATGGCGGCCGTAGCACAGCTTCAATTTTAGGGGACTTTTAGTATGTTCAAAAGGAAGGTACACCCAACATCTGTACCAAATTCCCCGGTTGTGCTAATTTTTTTTGGGTCAAAACATATTTTTACTGTACTATATAGATACCTAGTTCCTCGCTGGAAATATAACTCAAACTGATAATACTTGTTCTAAACTATGGTTATCACTACAAAACATGGTAAAATTAAAATTCCCATGTTATTATTACGGAGTTTACATAAACTGTTGTAGTTTGCTTGTTTATGGATGTATTTTAATGAAACTTGGCCACTTTATTCATTTTAAACTGAGCTATTAATAGAAGCTCACTTTTATTACTCTCCCTCTAGCAGAAAACCTAGGTACTCATGAAACTTAATGTTATTGAAATTGATTTAATTGAAAATCAAATCAGGGTAATGGAATCTCACTTAGTCTGAAGGTTTGCTGTGGTTGGGGTATTTGCCTATTCTATGAAATGCTGGGACGGCATCTCACCCTGTGATTGCAAAGAAAATGAATAGGTTGCTGCAGATCTCTGGAGGGAGTTAAGAACACAAAAACAATGAAACATTTTTATTATTTGAGTTATTATCGGCCACCATTTTGAAACAACTTGATCAAACTCAACCATTGACAACCTGGGCCCATATAATGCATTCAAGTACTTGTATGCCAAATTTCATTAAAATCTTTTCACATATTTAGGTGTTATAACCAATTCATGGCGACCCAGCATCCTCTTACGTTTGCCATCTTGATGACGTCATTAGGGACGACCGAGGTCCTTAAAAATTGGGGTCTAGGTGGTTTTACATTCTTAGGCTCATATATTATCACCACCCCAAGTTACATGCTCCCTGAACTGACATGCTGTCAGAACTGAAATATTTTCCTGCTACCCATCCCCACTATATTAACATTTTCCAAAAAAAAAAACAAAAGCATTTTTCTACTCTCCCTTTTGCAGCAAACCGTACTCGTTAAATTCGTTCTATTTAAATAGGGAATAAATGTGATATTTTTAAAAAGTCATTTTATTGTGAATCCAATCAGGCAAATGGAAATTCGCTTAGTCTGCAGGTTTGCTGCAGCGGGGGTATATTTTATCTATTTAATCGCAATAACAATAATTCGATTCGGCCAGTTCCAACCTTAGTTTTTAACCTTCCATCAGGCGCATCACGGAAGCTACCTCCGGGTCACTACTCTTTTTGTTATAAAAACCATAGTATGAGATCGGCAGGGCTGTGGCCTGATTTACCTCACGAACCACTTTTGCAGAATCGGTTTTGTATACTCTTACCCCTTTACCAGTTGTCAGTTGACCTTGGGGAGTGGTTTGCGTCACTACTGGAAGTAGCTTCCGTGAGTGCCCTGTGATGTAACGGGTTTCCTGGAGCCTAGTTCCGTGTGCGCCTTTCGGCCCTTGTGTTTGACCGTATTTAGCGATATTATAAAATGTATGAAGAAGAACTAATTGCGAGATTGTTTTCTAGTGTTGAAAGGGAGGACAAGGAATAACATTTAGAAGAAAGAACTAATGGTGCGCGAGTTCGTTAAGCTTTTTTTTAAAAAAAAAGAGCTTTGACAAAATGTGTGGTCTTTCTAACAATTGATTTTTTTGCATTAGACAATAGGTGTTTTATTTCAAACACCATTGAATTTTTTTTTCGAAATAGCTTTATATTTTTTCATAATACCATAGGTGTTTTTATGTCATACACTAATGCAATTTTTGTCTAAGAGCTTTGATTGAAACAGTTGTCCTTGTACAAAATTATTGTTTTTATTAGACCATGTACGTGTTTTATGTCATACAATATTCAAATTTGTTTTCTAATATACGAAAGTATTGTATAAGTACAAAAAGTAAATCTTTTTTATCCACAACACTTACGTATTTTTATTTGTTTTTTTTAATATTTTCTATTTGATATACTACTTAAGTAATAGTGTAATAACTCATAAAAATGTTTTTCTTACAGTTTTATTGCTATTCAAATGTTTTTTACTCATCATTGCATAGTTTTTGTACTCCCGGAGGTAACTTCCGTGAGCGCCCTTTGGTGTTTGAAAATCAATGCGCCCAACGGAAGGTTAACTCCAGTATATTTAAACTCAAAGGTAACACATTGAGCAAACAAACATACACACTATGACTAAATACATTAATTTGGAAAGCAAGTTATAAATACTGTAGCGACTCGCTACAATAGCGCAAGTCACGTGACTTAGCTGCGCGCGCAGTCTCCCCGCGGCAAGCACGCGCAACGAGAGGAGAGTACAGTAGTATGTCGACCAGCAACAGTTCAACTGACCGAATAAGTACTAGCATTAAGACTATGTCTAGATAGGTTCGTAGGGGTTGGGGAAGGGTGTAGGTCAGGGTAGATAGTAATTAATTATGTAAGTTATTAGGTTCACCAATGGTCGTGGTCTGGAAATCAATATCCCAAATTTAGAATTCACATTTGCTAAATCTAGTTACTTTTGACGAATCAGAGTAAGTCCAGATGTATATTTATTTCTCTGTTCACTATATTATAATTAGATATATTAAATAACATAAAAGCTGGCTGTGATATGCAGCTAAGGTAATATTGTGCACTTTGACGAGGTAGCTAACTTCCTTGGAGTAGAGTTGAACAACGACAGGAAATGTGCGTGATTTGGTCGTGGTGAGAGGAAGGTATATAGGGGCCAGGTATCTTCATTTACACTCATACTACTCCACATCACCACAATATACTCAAGAGTTTTGATTAGTATTATAGAAGGGTTTATTTATAAAATAAGAAAACAATGATTTTTTAAATCTGACAAACAATAATTTTAGAGGAAGTGTACCTTAATGTAAATCAAATTCCAAACCAGTTTAGAAAATTCATATATAAAAAGTACAAATATATCACTAAATAAATACTTCTGGATTGAAGAGAAAAGTGGGAAACAGAAAAGTAGTTCATAACTTGTCAATGGTCTTTATTCGTTAGTGTCTTAAAAAAAAATATATATATACATAAAAAGGTTTCTAAAAAGTCACATATACAAACGTTATGGGAGAATGTTCCTTGGACATGTATAAAATATTATGACAACAGACCAGTGAGTATCTGTTAAAAACATTCAGGCACAGATATCCCAAAGAATCTCCTTGAATGATTTGTTTGTGTATAGACTTGAACTATAACATAATACTGTAGTTTACTATTCTCCCAGCTCCTTTAAAATTTGTTCTAAAGGTTTGTTTTTTGTCTCAATAACAAAAAAATGTGTAAACAAAATACCTACAAAGGTGCAGGTTGAACATATAAAGAAAAGAACTCCTCTGCCGATCGCTAAACTTATTATTTCAAAATAAAATGTGGCTATAAAGAGAAAAAAAGAAGTAAGGCACGAAACAACTGAAAGAGCATGGGTTGCGATATTTCTTGGAAATGTTTCACCAAAAAGTACTGGCGGAATAGGTCCGAACCCCAAAGAAAATGATATTACAAAGATACAAATAATAACTAGGGGTAACCAAGCAATTGACGAAAGGTCGTAATTTCTATCTTTGAGGAAGAAGAAGAGGCCAAGAAAGAACGTAGAAGTAGCCATTCCTGCTCCAGAGATGAACAATAGAGGTCGACGACCGAGCTTGTCAATCACCGAAGAGGACACCATAGTGAATACAAGGTCTATGGAGCCTAGAAGAATAGTCTGTATGTTGGGGCTCAAGGAAAAATCAACCTCCTGCAAGAATTTGAAGTACATTAAATGAAAAATTGTCATTGTTAAAAGAATAAAGAACAAAAACATTAATATTATTTCCTGGACGGGGTCTTTTCAATACATTAAAAACATCAGGGTTATTAAGTACTGGTCCCGTGGCTATGGCAAATGTACCTCCATACTTTTTATGCCAACACATTGAGCCACTAATTTATAAAGATAATCTTTATGTAAACCTAAAGAACAACAAATATATGGTTAACGAAGTGATAAAAAAAGTCATTCTTGATTTCCTCTTTATTTTCACCCATAGAACCATTTTCCGAAGTTTGGCTGTTTACTTAAATGGGACAACCTGTGTATGGATTTCTATCTTTATGATGTGTGTAAATTAATTACTGATTATAGCTTTTAAGTGACTGGCTTACTGACATTTTACAACAATTAGATTTTCTCTCACTTCTCTCATATTTTGCATGATTTTGAGTTTCATGGGGTCTGTCCCTGAGCAGTTTTTCTGTTGGAATAATTTAATAGTTTTCTTTAAGTTTTTAGGAAAAAGCATTTAGCTTGGATTAAATTAATGTATAGGATGGAGAGGACACAGCTAATTCACCTGATGAATAGTTGCAGAAGAGTCAAAGAACACATAAAAACACACACATAATACTTGATATTTCGCCTCTTTCAGAGGCTTCTTCAGAGTATTATTTGTAGGCCATTACGTCTAGATGGCTGTTATAGAAAGAACAGTTTAAAATAAATAATGTGTCCTGTTTAAAGCGTTTAAAATAATATAGTTTTCTTTAAGTATTGTACATTTATCAAGCTTTTCAACTCACGTGAAATATATTGGTATTGTAGTATATGATACCAGGCGCACCACTAAACACCCGGAATACCATAAGTCCCACACAGATGACCAATCCCCTTTTGGCAGCTTTGGAGGAAAAGGCTTCAAAGAATTTCAGTTTAGCTGCTTTCATCTAATAAGCAAACAATTATTATATGTAACGCTATTAATTCCTAAATGAAAGATTGTAGATAACTTTAAGTACAGTATTATTACCTGCTCCCCCTATAGATAATGAATGAAGAAAAAGATTGAATGTTGAAATAGTTGATGATATGGTCGATTCACTTAATGAAACCATTTTAAAATTATATGACAAACACGCTCCAATTGTCAACCGTAGGGTTAGTAAAAGTCGCTCCGTTCCTTAGATCAATGATGAGATAATTGGTTTAATGGCTCGGCGGGACTCAGTCCATCGTAGAGCCAAAAGAACTAGGGATCAAGGGCTCATGGCCCAATATCGCCAGCTTAGAAATCAAGTAAAACAACATTTACGCAATGCTCGACTCCAATTTTTTAATAGATTGTTTTCTGAAGGAAAGCAATCCTCTGCTATTTGCTGGCGTAATCTAAAACGTTTTGGCTTTGGAAAGCAAGTTAACATTGTCCCCATATCAATTCTGTTGAACGATTTAAATGATTATTTTTTAACAGTTTCATCACAGGCAAACCGTACAATAGTCCAGAACCATTTAACAGAGTTACGCCATTTGCCAAATTCCATCACTCAATTTAACTTCAAGCCAATATTGCAAATCGATGTTTTGAAGGCTATAAGGCGGTTAACGTCTGAAGCCACTGGTTCTGACAGAATCCTAATTTCTTTAGTTAAACGTATCTTGTTTGCTCTCCTCCCAACATTAACTTTCATATTTAATACTTCAATAAGATTAGGTATTTTCCCAGAAAAGTGGAAGTCTGCGCTTGTCCGTCCCTTGAATAAAATCTCATCCCCATCGCTTCCGCAAGACTACAGACCAATTAGCATTCTTCCCGCTCTTTCTAAGGCACTAGAAAGAGTCATTCACTCCAAAGTTTCTGACTTCTTGGTACAAAACAACATCCTCAATAGCTTTCAATCAGGTTTTCGTAAATCTTACAGTACTGAAACGGCAATGCTTCATGTAACTGATGACATACGATTTGCTATGGATCGTAGCCAATGTACTATCTTAACATTATTTGACTTCAGTAAAGCCTTCGATACCGTAAACCATAGCATTCTTCTAGCCAAACTCAAACTGTTAGGTTTCTCTGATAATTCATTAAAATGGATGAGATCATATCTTCAGAGCCGAAAGCAGTGTGTTTCTCATGACAACTTGACGTCCGACTGGAGACATGTTCCCTGCGGAGTTCCCCAGGGTTCAATTCTTGGTCCTCTGCTTTTCACCATTTACATCAATGACATCAGTACAGTACTACACCACGCAAAGTTTCATTTGTACGCTGACGACTTGCAAATCTATTCTCATTTTAAAGTGAGCGATGCAAATGAAACTATAAACATGATGAATCACGACATCAACAGAATTGGTCAATGGGCAGAAAAGAACGGAGTTAGACTCAATCCTGACAAAACAAAGCCAATCATCATAGGTCACTCACGGTTACTCAACAAAGTGGACATTTTACCAAAAATCACTGTAAACGGAACCACTTTGCAATACCAGGACAAAGTTAAAAGTCTTGGTTTGACTCTAAACCGCACATTGGACTGGACTGACGCGGTGGTAAGCACTTGTAAAAGAGTGTTTGCCGCTGTTCACACACTGAAGAAGATGCAACGACTTCTACCTTTTCACATTAAACTCTTACTGGTCAAATCACTCGTGTTTCCACACTTCAACTACTGCAACACCGTGGTTAATGATATGACTGTGGCTTTGGCAACAAAATTGCAACGTGTACAAAATTATTGTGTTCGATTCTTGTTCAATCTTAGGCGTGATGACCATGTCACACCCTATTACATTAATGAATCAATTTTGAAATTAGAGGACGTCAGAAAAATACGAATACTTTCCATTACTCATTCAGTCATCAATCTTGGAATTCCAAATTATCTTGCAAAGAATTTTAAATTTTTGAATGGAAGAGACGCAAGAGATACCCGCTCTGGCTTGTCCACGCTTCGCATTCCTCATCATAGAACAACAGTTTATAATAAATCATTTTTAGTAACAGCCTGCCGCCTATGGAACTCCATACCTCTGCCCATCAAATCTATAGAAAACCGATCCCGACTGATGGTGGCGCTGAAAGAATAGTACCTTGACCGGATGGCCGTGGCTTGGCGGGATGGCGTGCGTTAGGCCTAGATGCAGCAGAGGGTGTATGTGTGTGTGACTGTATGTTAGGGAAGATGAATAGATTCATGCTATTTTATTACTAGCTATGCTACAAACTTTATTGTATTTTTTGTTATTATTTTGTTGTTATTATTAGCTTTTTAGAGGTTAACTGTAAGAAAGGACCATGTGGTCCTAAGTTCGCCTCAATAAAGAAGCATTTTCATTTCATTTCATTGAAGAAAGTATATTGTTTTTGTCAAAATTGTTCTGTTTGAGTTTTAGGCGAAAATATAATAGTTGGGTCTCCTTGAATCCAAAAGTCATTTCAAATTCAAATTCTTTATCAACTCATAACATCTTTTGAAGTACAATGTACATAGACAGGAGTTTTGTCAATATTTATAAAACTAATACTCAACTTATCTATAAGTATAAAAGAGGATGTTTGTATATATATATATATATATTTGGCAGTGATAAACTCAGACACGGCTGAACCGATTGCCACGAAACTTGGTACATACGTGTAGAATGTCATGGAATAGGTTTATACACCATCAATTTCGTGATCCGTCCAATCGGCTCCACCCCAGTGGCTCTGGAGTTTCCCATGTTAACCTTATGAGAAATGGAATTAATGAATCTTAACAGCTGTTTCAATTAAACAAGTTGGTTCTGTTCTATGATGTTCAATACCATTAAGTTACAAGGATTACCAACAGGGTGCAGCACTATTATTTCTTTTACATTTATGACAACAGCTAATTTGCAACCAAAAGGTGAGTGAGCATAGCGAACGAACTTCAACCTGGAGGCGAGTTAGCGTAGTGAACGAGCTAACCTGAAGGCAAGTGAGCGTAGCGAACGAGCTAACCTGAAGGCAAGTGAGCGCAGCAAACGAGCTCCAACCTAAAGGTCAGTGAGCGTAGCGTTGAGTGAGCGTTTGAAAGACTTTCTGACTATGGAGTAGTTGTAAATCCGTCTAAATGTGTAATTGGTGTACCAGAAGTTAAATTTCTAGGTTATTTAGTCTCATCTGCTAGAACACGTCCACCTCAGGAGAGAGTCACTACTCTACAAGACTATCAGTTACCTCAGACTATGCGTGGTCTTCGCAGATTCTTGGGAATTATGAACTTTTATCGTCGGTTTCTGCCTAAGGCCGCTGAATTTCAAGCACCTCTGCACTCCTTACTTAGTGACGCTGATTCAAAAGGTTCCCTCCCTGTGCCCTGGACTCCAGAGACAGAAGAAGCTTTCCAAGCATGCAAGGCTAGCTTATCATCAGCAACACTATTGTTTCATCCTAATCCTGATGCTCCCCTCTTGGTCTCTTTACAGACGCCTCTGGAGTAAGTGTAGGTGCTTGCCTCCAACAGATTGTCGATGACACTTGGCAACCTCTAGGGTTTTTCTCCAAGAAACTATCACCCTAACAGTGCATCTGGCCTGTATACTACAGAGAACTCCTCGCTATTTATGAAGCTGTGCAGGATTTCTGTCATCTTTTGGAAACAACATATTTCACTATATTCACAGATCATAAACGACTTATTTATGCCTTTCAACAGCGCCGTGACAAGTTGCCTCCAGCTCAGTTACGTCAACTTTCATTTATCTCTGAGTTTTCGACGGACATAAAGCACATCAGTGGCTCACAAAATATAGTTGCTGATGCTTTGTCACGTGTTGAAACCATTTCAACTGTTTTAGATCATGAATCCTTAGCCAAGTCGCAAGAGTCAGACGAAGAACTTCAAAATCTCATTTCAGAAAGTACTACATCTCTTAGATTGGAGAAAGTTCCAATTCCTGGAACCCATTTGAGCCTTATCTGTGACACCTCAACAGGAACTCCTAGACCCTTTGTCCCAACAGAACTGCGACATAGAGTTTTCGACCAGATCCACAAGCTGAGTCATCCTGGAATACGTGCCACAACAAAACTTATCTGCGATCGTTTTGTCTGGCCTTCCATTCGTAAGGATTGCCACAATTGGACTCAATCGTGCCTCTCCTGCCAAAGATCTAAGAGAACTAGACATGTTTCTACTCCTCTTGGTGATTTTCATACACCTACAGAACGTTTTTCAACGTCATGTCCACATTGACCTAATTGGCCCACTTCCGTTATCAAAATCTTCCAGGTTCCTCTGTCTAACTATCAGAGATAGATTTACTCGTTGGCCTGAAATTTGTCCTATTGATCAAATAACTGCCGAATCTGTTACTCGAGCTCTACTTGGATAGCTCGATTTGGATGCCCACAAAAGTTGACATGTGATCGCGGATCCCAGTTCACATCGACTTTGTTTAAAGACCTAGCGCGACAGTTGGGCATAAAGCTAAATAGTTGGGCATAAGTTGGGTTCACTAACAGCTGGCATCCACAAGCCAACGGTATGATTGAAAGACTCCACCGCCAGTTGAAAGCTGCTATAATGGCTCACAGCAAATCAGACTGGACCGAAGTACTGCCCTTTGTCCTTCTCGGAATAAGATCTGCTTTCAAGGAGGACATCTCTGCTTCATCGGCTGAACTGGTGTACGGAGAACCACTGCGTCTTCCGGGAGAGTTTTTCATAGTACCTTCCCACGAGAGCAACGAGCCGCAAGGATTGGTATCAGGGCAAGCATATGAATCGTATGAATGGTAGGGGGTAAGCATATGAATCGACTAAGACCTACACCCGCATTATGCCACATCAATCCAGGATCGTTTGTGTTCAAGAACCTCAGCACTTGTGACTTTGTATTTATCCAACAAGACTGTTTAAGGAAATCTTTACAGGCCCCATATTCTGGCCCTTACAAAGTCATATGCCGTGACAAAAAGACAAATTACCATCATTGTAAGAGGCCAAGAAACTAAGGCATCTTTGGACAGAGTCAAGCCAGCCTTTATTGTTGCCGGTGAAAATCCTATTCCTGAGCCCACGAAACGTTTGGTGCCGACTGGACAAACGGAGGAACCTCAAACCTACCACCATCTTGTCAAACTCCATCTACGAAGTCTTATACAACTCGTTCTCGAAGACAAATCCGACCACGGGTTACTTTTCAGAATGATGTATAGATTCCTTTTCTCCGTGGGGGGCTGGGTGTAGCGTCAGCTGATGACGTTGTCATAGCAACGCATTATGATTTAGTCTGGTTTTTGTTTGTCTAAAGGATTGTACACAAAATTAACTCTTATGAAAAATACTTTTTTTTTACTTATTTGGTCGTAATTTTGTTGATGTACACAAACAACCACGACCAAAGTATCAAGAATAATATAATAATTTTTTAACAAGTTTGAGTGTGGAAACTCCAAGAACATCGAGGCTGAAATCATGCACCACACTAATGGTTTTGTATTTCTTGATTCATTCTCATTGTCTATACATGAAGTAATATAGCAAATGATTCTTCAGTATTTAAAATGTAAATTACTTTTATTAGCAAAATTGATAATGTCTACTTACTGCGTCAATATTTTGTTTCTTCACAGCAAGTTCTACATCAATGTTGTAATGGCTTCCTCGCAACCACTGTAAAGACTTTCTAGCATCTTCTTCATTGTTTTCTAGCAGGTAAGAAATAGGAGACTCTGGGATGCATATGAGTAAAAAAAAGTAAACTACTACTATTGCTAAACAAATTGCTGTCATGGATACTACAGGTACCTAGGAAAGAAAAAAACAGAAAATATTGTAATACGGATCAGAGAGAGTAAATCTAATAATAAAAATAATAATAATACACTACAAGTAAACAAGAGTTGTGTCTCCAAATCATTGTTGGTACTGTTTAATTATTAATTAAAAGTAAAAATAGAACAAGTTAGAACGAAATAGAACAGGTCATGTTGGTTTTTTTTTTATTAACTAGAATTGAACTGTGTTGATACCAGGCATTTATTGCACACCCCTTGTTCATAAAAACATTTTTGGTTTTAAAAAATAGAGGTATTAAATAAGGTAAAGTATTATTAAGTATTTTAAATTAACTAGAGGTATTATAGATTGTAAGATATTGCAAACAAAACAAAGTACATAATACAAAATCAAATAACATTAGAGAGTCGATTGTCCAAAACAATTGGGGATTAGGAACATGTATATAAGTTTTTTTTATTTGTTATGATTGTCGTCTGCAATAGTAAGAACACCCTTGAGCATATCATACGGCCTCGGGGACACCCCAGATCATCACTCCCAGTTGCGTCAACACCGTTGATCATCTCTTACGATCGTGGCAACACCGCTGGTCGTCTCTTACCATTGCTACCACAAAACTGTTCATCTCTCGCTGTTGCTACAACACCACTGATCATCTCTCGCAGTTGCGGCAACACCCCTGATCGTCTCTTGCCAACGCTACAACACCACTGATCATCTCTCGCAGTTGCGGCAACACCCCTGATCGTCTCTTGCCAACGCTACAACACCACTGATCATCTCTCCCAGTTGCGGCAACACCCCTGATTGTCTCTTGCCATCGCTACAACACCACTGACCATCTCTTGCAGTTGAGGCAACACCTCTGACCGTCTCTTGCCATCGCTACAACACCACTGATCATCTCTCGCAGTTGCGGCAACACCCCTGATCGTCTCTTGCCATCGCTACAACACCACTGATCATCTCTCGCAGTTGCGGCAACACCCCTGATCGTCTCTTGCCAACGCTACAACACCACTGACCATCACTCGCAGTTGAGGCAACACCACTAATCGTCTCTTGCCATCGCTACAACACCACTGACCATCTCTCGCAGTTGCGGCAACACTCCTGATTGTCTCTTGCCATCGCTACAACACCACTGACCATCTCTTGCAGTTGAGGCAACACCTCTGACCGTCTCTTGCCATCACTACAACACCACTGACAATCTCTCCCAGTTGCGGCAACACCCCTGATCGTTTCTTGCCCTCGATACAACAACGCTGATCATCTCTCGCGATCGTGGCAACACCGGTACCGGTAGTCGACCTTTTGGTTGACCAACGTTTCGGATAATTGATATTTGACTGTAAACTTATTACTTGGTCTAGGCAGGGACGAGGCTGAGAATATCATTGTTGGATATAGTATGCAAACATTTTATTTAAATAATCTATGGTTTATATTATATTTTGTCTCTTTCCAGCTGCTATGAAAATTAACTTTAATAATTTTGAGACATATGATTTTTGAATGAATTGTTATGTTGTGATTACAGAAATAATAGTTTGGTAGCATTTGACTATGATTGAGTAACTTTTCTTTTGTGAATAATTAAATTATTTTCTGCTCAGTATCTAGTCTATTTCTCTTTCCATTTTTGACTTTTAACATTTGGCGACCGTGACAGGACTGTATGAGTTCTTAAACAGATAGTCATTATTGAGATAATGGAAAGAAATAGGAAACTAAGAAAAACCTTCAGAACATCATTTACCAGAATTTATAATGGGATAAATGAGGAGCTATGCAAAGATGAGCAAGACCTACACAATATACAGGGTAAATTGAGCTCTCTGGAAGGTAAGATAGAAGAACTAAAAACTTTGGACAGGGAAATTTTAGATTTCTTGCTTAATTCTGAAGCAGATGAAGAAGAGTTAAATGAAGAAGTTAGGCTATCAGATGAATATGTAGAGAAGTTTAATCGAATTAGTTTAGCTGTACAGAGTAGATTGATTAGGTCTAGGGCCACTTCACCTAATTCCAATGGGTCTGTAAAGAGTAAATCTACTGCTGTTAGGACTAAGCTGAGGCTACCTACTATTGAATTCACAAAGTTTAGCGGGGATTTGAAGGATTGGCTACCTTTTTGGGCACAATTCAAAAGAATAGACAATGACGAGAATATTGACGATATTGATAAATATCATTATCTTTTGCAGGCTACTTTAGCTAATTCTAGGGCTCGTCAGCTGGTCGAAAGCTATCCTGCTACCGCTGAGAACTATTCAAAAGCTTTGCAAAGTCTTAAAAGTCGTTTTGGTAGAGATGACCTTTTCATAGAAGTGTATATTAGAGAGCTTTTGAAGTTAGTTCTGAGTAATTTAAACAGTAAGGTAGAAGTTTCTTGCATTTACGATAAACTGGAAACTCAACTAAGAGCATTGGAGACATTAGGAGTAACAACTGACAAATGTTCTGCTATGTTATATCCTCTTATAGAGTCTTGTTTGCCCGAGGAACTGTTGAGAGCTTGGCAGCGTCACTCCGGCTATGAAGTTGATGCTGAACTTAAGGATAGACTTGATGGCTTGATGAAGTTTCTGCAAAAGGAGGTTGCTAACGAAGAAAGGATTACCCTAGCCGCATCTGGTTTTGAAAATAGTAAGCGACCTAACCTACAGCCTAAAGTAAGTAAATTTACTGTATTTCGACCTAAGACTAGTTACGCCAGACATACTGAAATGATGCCGACAGCTGCTGGTTTAGTAAATCCAACGATGTCTGATAATTTAAATACTAAAGACGCTAAATGTATGTTTTGTGGTTCTAACCACTTAGCTGAAAACTGTAAAGACAGTAAATTGACAGTAGATGAGAAGGTGAAAATTGTTGGAAAAAATGGTTGTTGTTTTACTTGCTTGAAGTATGGTCATAGGAGTGCGCAATGTAAAGTTAGAGTAAAATGTCCCATCTGTGGAAAGAGGCACACCGCTGTAATGTGTAGGGCATCTGCTGCAGAAGGAAGTTCATTGATTGAACAACCAGGCAAAGAAAGTTCTCTAGCAAACAATGTTCACACAGAAGTGTTTTTACAAACCTTTTTAGTAAAAATTAGAAACCAAAATCGAGAGCGAACAGCACGTGCTTTAATAGATACGGGATCACAGCGGTCTTATATTTTGAAAAATACAGCAAAGGAATTTGACTACGACATAGTCAGAAAGGAGAAGCTAGCTTATGCTTTATTTGGTGGCACTAGTACTGAAACAATTGAACATGCGTGTTATAAGGTTAGACTAAGTGACTTAAATAACAGTTATGCCTGCAATTTTGATGTTCTTGATCAAGATATAATTTGTAACGATGTTACAACAGTTAAGCCTGGTCCTTGGTCCATTGAGCTTGGAACACTGGGAATTAATGTAACAGATGGAGACGGACCTATTGAAGTTCTGATAGGTGCAGACGTTGCCGGGAAGCTTTACACTGAGAAACGATATCTGCTTTCCAACGGGTTAGTTGCGATGTACACTTTGTTGGGCTGGACTTTAATGGGAAGAACTACAGTTGAAGGAATGACAGGTCCAGTTCTATGGCAGTAACTTCTTTACTGTCCCCTATTGATAATAAATCCATTTCAGATTTGTGGAGTTTGGATGTTTTAGGAATCAAGGATCCAGTGGAGGTAAAGAGTGAATCTTCAGTTAAAAGTAGAACAATGGAACATTTTGTAGAATCTGTTTCAGTGGAAAATGATGGCAGATATCAGGTCAAATTGCCATGGGTTGAAGATCACCCGCCGTTACCCACTAATTTAAAAGTAGCACAGAAGAGACTCAGTAATCTTACAAATAAACTTAATTCTAGTGGATATCTTAGTTCATATCAACAGGTGTTGTCTGACTGGGAGGAATTAGGTATCATAGAGAAGGTTAACGATGCCGATTTGGAAATTGGTCACTACCTACCGCATCGACATGTGATAAAAGAAAACAGTCTTACCACGAAATTGAGACCTGTATTTGATGCATCTGCTAAAGAAAAGAATCAGCCCTCGTTGAACGATTGTCTAGAAAAAGGTGACAACCTAATTGAATTGATTCCGTCCATATTAAATCGTTTTAGACTACACAGATATGGAGTTGTTTCTGACATTGAGAAGGCTTTTCTACAGATTGGTGTACATATGGATGATAGAGATTTTCTTCGTTTTTTGTGGATTAATGAAGAGGGTCAATTGGTTGTTTACAGACACGCTAGAGTGGTCTTTGGAGTTACCTGTAGCCCATTTATGCTAAGTGCAGTAATAAAACTTCATTTAGAAAAAACATTAGACTTGATAGATTCTGGATCGTTAAACTACTCAAGAAAAGTAGTAGAGACACTGTCGAGAAGTTTCTATGTAGATAACTGTATGGCAAGTTTTGATGACTTTTCAGATTTGAATCAATTTGTAGATCAAGCGACTTCTGTAATGAAAGATGCTAGATTCTGTCTTCGGAGTTGGGAGTACACAGAAATTCAGAGTTTCAAAAATGATTCTACCTTGACACCTATCTTAGGTTTAAATTGGAACAAAAATACTGACATGATTGAGTTGAATTTTGAAAACTTTGCGTTTAAAGAGCCTGAAATAGCCACAAAGAGATCTATTTTGTCTTTTGCACACAAGTTGTTTGACCCCATAGGTATAACTTGTCCTGCTACACTCATGCCTAAGATATTGCTGCAGAAAACTTGGGAAAGTAAAATTGGATGGGATGACAAGGTTTCAGAAGAGATAAAACTTTTGTTTTTAGATTGGGCAAGGCAACTTGAGATTTTTTCAAATTTGAAAATTCCAAGATATTTTGGAAATAAAATCGAAGGGAATATTTCTTGGACAGTTCACTGTTTTTGTGATGCAAGCCAGGACGCTTATGCGGCCGCGGTTTTCCTGAGGGGTGAATCTAATGGACTTGTCACAGTTCAATTAGTTCAAGCGAAGAGTAGAGTTGCACCTGTCAAGAAGATGACTA